AGTTGTTTACATCTGGCAGTATAAACTGTTCCATGGCTGCCAGACCCTATCTCTTTAAATTCCCAGAAGTCCTCGTATTGCATAATTTTGAATTCTAATTGAGAATCGAATGAGTTTATATTAATGGTCTGAAGGAATCTGTCTAAAATTGAGTTCATGCTGGAATGGAACACTAGATAGTAATCTCCAGATCTTGGCTCTTGCGTTATGCCAACAATCCAAAGATTGTGTGGAGTTAATATCTCCGGATACCCTTCGGTTAGCTATTAAGTAAACAAACACGAGTTAATAATAAAGATTCAACATCGATTACCAGTTAATATCCATGTTAATTCCCACGCTGGAGTAACTAACCTGATAAAAATCAAAGGCGTGAGCGTCTGGTCCATCGACTATCTTTTTAATCATAATCTTTCTCAATTGGGTCTGATTGGCTATCTCCTCTAACCAATCGGCTGTATGCGTACATTTATGCCCTAGCTGCACGACCCGTTGTATTGATTTCAATTGAGAAAACTCGATCCATTGTATATGACCATCTGCTTTAGTATCCACATTGTTCCACGATTTCATCAAAAACGAGTCCAACTTTTTATTACCAGTTGTCCAATCGAGCGGCCTTGGCGCTTTACACTTTAGACAGAATGCATTGATGTTGGGATGCAAGTAGTCTAGGCATGACAGACACAATCCAACATTACACGAGTCCCATTTAGACATAACCTTGACTACGGCATATTTTTGCCACTCGGTGTGGTAAGTAAACCCAACGGTAATCCAAACTTTTGGATCGAGCATGTCAGGATGGTCACGACACAACTGATGACAAATTATTAACGTTTAGTTGTGGGGTTAATTAAACCGTTAAACGCAGTCTAAATGTGTCTACATTTTACTCACCATTTGATAATATGAGTCATCTGTTTCGTCCTGAATCTCAACCGGTATCAATTCCACGTCGCAATGAGTAGATATTCCACTAACAAATTCAGCATTTGAATATCGTTGGGTATCATCGTCATTAGTCAACGTGTGTTGATCTAAATAGTAGGTATTATTTCTATTGTTTACTGAATAAATTTCGGTCAATTCATAAGGAATACGCCTGGGTATCTCTTTCGTAAACTTATCGAGATTATTCTTGTTGATAGGCCACGCGTTTGAAGTTTGGCTAACAATGCACTTATCGGAACAAGCAGTATCACCAAGATCATCTGAAGAGTCAATCGTAACCCACTCGAAGGGAATCCATTCCAAGTAGGCTTCATTTGCCGATTTTGTCAGCCTCTGAGACTCTCTAATAAACTCGTCAAGTTTTGCATTGTTGCTCGTCCATTCCTCTGCTAGCTCTTTGTGGCCACAAATACACCAAATTGGACTACATCGGAGAATTCCGCATGCAGAGCAGAACCCGTAAAGGGAATAATAATGATAAAATTTTTTTCTAACGACTAAATAGTAATCATCCTTGTGTGTTGTAAATCCCTTGATCAGCTGATTTCGATCTCTAAGCCACGTTGAATATCTTTTGAACTGGTCACTATTAGGAGGATTTTCGTACATGTGTGTCGGGATTGAATACATTCTAGCAAATTCCTGCGTGCACTTGTCGTGCTTTCCAAATGATAATAGAATTACGCTTTCTACTTCACGCCATGGCCGATTATGCGCTGCATCATAAATTTTTTGACTGATGAAATATTTGTTGGTCTTTCCGAATAGGATTTATATTTGTAAATTCCGAGTACGGAATGTGATTAAGGTTTGAATATATCGATTCTCCGTCGTCCAACGTCTTTGAAAGTTTAATCGAACCATCAAATCTTGGATGGTCGGGAATACTGTTATCGATTTCTGTGATTTCAGCATTCGGACTTGATCTAAAGACATTCAAGAACCGTTCAACGAAGTCCATTATGTAGTCAAACACTTTTGTTTGCCACGAGTCAATGCAATGCGGCTTATAAGCTACAAGCAAGACAGGAAACACAAGGCAAATTGACTGCCTGATTTTATTGTTGAATTTTTTTGATGTTATAGCATTATCCAAAATTGGCAATACAATGAAAGGGTATGTTCGGTCGCGTGATTCCATGTTTACGTTTGAACGACTCTAAGAACCTCTTAATGTCGAAGAACGTTACACCATGTGCAATTAAGTTGTATATGATCTTCCGCAAGTATGCATGTTTGGGAGAACTTTGGGATCAAGACCAAACTTTGGACATTCTAATTCTTACGAAGATATAAAACGATAGATTCTCGTTTGTTGCACTTTTCAACATGTTGACAATCCGGGTGACTTTTTTTTTTGCAGTGCAAACAGCTGAACGTTCATACTTGTTGGAGATGTGTTATGCCCGTTGTTACTGAGAGTCAGCTAGTAAGGAAAAATTTTGATCATGAACCCGTAACACAGATAAATAATTCAATCATTCATTAATACCTTTCAGCGTTCCTTCAAAGTCTGAGTTTCGAGGGTCTTTATTCGGCACTCACTCAAAGTCTGAATTATCATCGTTACTATTTAAGCACGTTTTCCGCGAACTAATATGTAGGCCATATCATGTATTGAGCGATAAAAGAATGACGGCTATTATTCAGTCATTCTGCCTTCGAATAACGAAGACGCTAATCCTACTCACCTTCGTTAGTCGTCTTCTTTTCCTAATTTACGAATTCTATCTGCCGAAGGTGCTATATTTACCTGCAGTTTTGATGGACATACATGGACTGTCAAGATAAATCATCAGCACTTAATATGTTTTTGATATGCAATAGCAATAAAGAGTTACAGAATTTGTACTATGTCCCCATCAGAATTAGTTCCTTAGTAAAGTCGCGCAACGTTACTACTTTCCACGTGACCAAGAATTATAATAGTGATTGGCTGTAGCAAGTGAAGGTTCGCCAAATACGCAGTAATCACACCATTCAACTTCCTTCAACAGGTTGATATTGAATATTTTAAAGCTTTTGCCCGCACCGAATTAAAAAGTAGTATTGCCAAGAAAAAAGATATTTGAATAGATTTATTTGTTACTGATTAGTCAACTCTTTTCGCTAATTGTTCATAAAGATACTATTCAATAAAATATACTATAACAGATATGTAGCCTGACTTGGCATGGTCTAACCTTGTTATATAGAGCCATCCTGTTCTGTCAAATGTCTCGTTATACGGCATTGTAAATAGCATTTCGATATAATAAGAATGAAATTTGACTGCCTCAAAGTAAGTATGACGTAGTCTTCAGCTTGACTCTACGAAGTTAATAAGTAAAAGCAGAAAATATCTGATACACGATGGTATTATGGGAGATGCGTATTCGACAATCTGTCGCCAGTGCTGATAATAGATATGAAACAATATTAGGTGCATTCAATTTCATCAACATCGTACATTGAGCGCGTCTTTAACGGGAAAACCACATTATTATTATTATTATTATTATCATTATTATTACAAGTCGTCGGAATATACACTGTATTTATACAACCACTTAATACGTCAGTTTTGTGTAACTTTATACTAGCAAATTATCTTACTGTCATTCGCCCATTGTTGCGAAAGGAATAGTTTGATAGTCATCAATCTTATAATATATGGACAATGGAGTTTGATAAAACAAGCATGAGTTGAGTCTTTGAAAGATAGACTTAATCTCATACACCCGTAAAAGTTGATATGACGGATTTCTTTTGCTACAACGAAATTTGTACTAAATGATATTTAGTATAAATTCGCAGCTGATATTAATATAACGGACTAAACAGTCCGTTATTATTTATACAACTTTTACTTGTACTTTGTTGACTTTGCTAATAAACAACGGGTTAACTGAAGAAGCCATTTTCCTTTCTCCGATGAAGTTGCTTACAAAGAGGCTTGTACGTGTAACGAATGAATATAATATACTTGCGATTGTTCATACAATAAATATTATTATTATTAAAGTTTAAAGGATGTTTTTATCGTAATCCTTGATATGTGTAACAATATCTGCTGTGATAGTAACAATAGTAACAATAGTTATCAGGCATATTGCAACTAAATACATTGGACCTTGACTCGTTTTCATTGTCATATATCTTCTGAATAATTTCTTCCCCCTGCTTTCAGTGATACTATTCATAGAACAGTAGTAAATAAAAACGTCATAACCCGATATGGGGAGATACCTTATCTACATACCAATATGGTTAAATTGATGTGCGGAGATGCATGAAATGAGCCCCGTCATAGTGAAAATGGTAAACTCATAGTGAGTATGGTTTTACAGGATGCAATCAGCTGAAAAAATCACAATATGTAACAATAATAATGGTTTCACAGTCTTTGATTGACAATGAGAACAGCGAAAGATATAGACAAACGACATACTATCTAGATGGAATTTTCCAAACGAAAACCTTGTATATTGTTTAGGTAATAGATACAGAAGTCCGAATAGCCTTATATAGGTTGTGTGTTTTTGATTGTTGATGAAGATTATCCTTTTTTTTTGTTTATTTATGTGCATATGTGCTATAATTAGTTTGGCTTATTCCATACAAAGCAGCCAACCCTTTACCATGTCTGTGTGTTTGTATGTATGCAACTGCGCCAAGACATTTACCGTACTATAACCCACCCTTTGTATTTGTTGCATATTACACCATATTACATGATCAGTATATAAATGTCTCATCCTCCTAGAAGAGTGTAATAACTGCTCTCACGAGCTGTGTATACTATTTTACGTTCACCTTACGTTTGGACCTGAGCATTTGTGATAGCAGCAAGTGAACGCTAACACAGCAGAAAAGTTACAACTTATTACCTGCTTTGCATAACCGTTATGATTCTTATGTCGGAAACGAACAACGTCTAGAGAAACAAGTGAAAAAAAAAGTTGACTGACGAAACAGAACCCATAATCAGCAGCGGGGAAATAAGATAACGAAAACAAGACGACAAATACATTTAACGAACATTATTATAACCACACTTTTACAAAATGTACAAATCTACAACTCGGTCTAGCGTACGAACACATTCGAATAGAATGATTCTGTTCCTCTTCCTTCTCATATTAAATATCACGTTAACCGTCTCCGCGCCATGGCCACGCGAAGATGTGTGGGATCCGTGTAAATATGACCCAACGCTGGATAGACTACCTGATGGAAGATTCCGTGAATGTTCCGATGAAGTCTGGATACGGTGGCAGACACCTTACGAAAAACAAAGTTACTAAAAGTCGAATGCGGAGAATATGTGTGATGGACATCATTATTTCTACATTTTGATTGTAAATACTTTTCTCTGTGTAAATTGTGAAATTGTCTTACTTATTAGAGATTGCCTTTGTAAAATGGTCTTCTAGTTGTGGTAGCTTTACTATGGGAATATTTTTTCTGAAAATAAAATGTACATAATATTAATAAGTAATAAAATAGATTTGCTGATAGCCTCACGCAAACATTTCGATCTAATACTAACATAAGTCGAAATTAAAACGCAGGCGTATTTTTCCTAGGCCATAACATTAAGTACTACGCAGTGCAAAAATAATTGAATCATTATGACGTATATTAGTATTAGATATTTTGTAAATACGAACAAAATTGCGATTGCCTATCTAACCAATTATTATATTGCAGAGCTTCTCAGTTTTGGCCGCTTGCCTGTTTGCTATACACAGCTTAAACCAGCTCTTTGTTTAAGCCTTTTATGGGTCACACTAACCAAATAGAAATGTTTCTCGTCAAAGAAGCTTGGACCACCTCACACGTGCTACTAATTAGATAACCTGTCGATGAAATCAGACCTTGCATACTAATACTGTGCGAAAATATTTAAATTGGATACATGATAATGAATAAAACACACTCTTAGCATAGTAATATAATAGTGGTTTTCATAATCAGTATCATTCTGAAATATCCTTATCAACTATGGTAGTTACAATTTAATAGCCTTTCTGCTGATACTTCTTTTACTTGTTAATAGTTGCTCAAGTAAGATAACAAATATTTTGTTCGTCATGAGTTTGTTAATGATGGAAGATGAATAGTTTGGCATTGCATATAGACTTTTGCAAATTCTGTAATTACATAAAGTTTACGCCATACTGACTTGACCGCATCGTTTTATGAAAAGTTTGTAATGGCCTGTGGGAATTAGCATAATGACGATTTCAATAGCATTCCTGGAAGTACAGGCTTATTATGAACTATTGAGATCATTTTTCTTGTTAAATGCAGACAGCTGCCCTTGACGTCGCTTTATTTTAAATAGTATATACTATGGTCTTCGATATAAAAATTGTTTTAATTTAAATTATTAGCACAGCATAAATAAAATTGTCTAAAAACATTGATTAGTATCCAGACAGTTTAATAAAATCGAGTGTTTTTTATTTCAGAATTGAGCAGTTTCCTTATTATTATACCATTCAGTAATTAATAGTTAGCTAGTAACAAAACCTGCTGAGAATACGTTTAAAATTGAAGAGAGAAGGGACGGTTTTTGGTTATTGATAGCGAATTGCAAAAACTTTATGGAGGAATAATTTATTTCCACACTTTATTCAGTAAATCCTGAACTTAGCTTATAATAATAAACATTTATTTCAATACTTTGTTGCCATCAGTTGTTGATCAATGTCTATATAATAATTGTCGCGTAAGGCGGCTTATCGAGATTGTCGAGGTAGCTCTATTATCAATGTAAATTGCACAGCGTTCGAATGAGTAAAATTTGCAATTTCTTGTTTGAACTGCTCAAACTACACATTGCATAATTGTTATTTAACACACAATAAACGTCTTAAAAGGTAGTAACTCGAATCAAGTTTCGATAAGCCGGCTTCATCGCTATACCAAGAACGCCATAAGGTAAGTGTAACGTAGGACAGCCAAAGAATAAGGTTGCATCATTTTCCATTGGCAATAATAGCTTCGAGAATGTCATTGCCAGAAGAGGTATTAGACTCTTATTTGGAAACCCACGGCAACGGATGGATCTCTTTCTCAGAATTTACAAACATAGAGCCTGTTCACGACTCTGCTGTTCAAAATCTCTATCATGCTATACGCAAACAAGTACGAGTTGACCACACTCTGGTGAATGAGATGACACTACTTCTTCAGTTTGGAACCAGTAGTGATGGATTGATCAATATTAATAAATTCAGCAAGATATACTCACATCCAACCCACAAATATAAAGATCCACCGAATATCAATAATTTCAAAAGATATGCTGCATGGCTTGAGACGCGTAATGACATGATAAGGGGTTTTACGAAAGATAACAATTGTTATTATATGGTTGCTGACTGGCTTTTTTGTCATTGTTATTCCCTATATGGTTTCTGCTCTGTATGTGGAATTCTCCGGTGTAGTCCAGTCTGGTGTATTTGTGGTCATAAAGAATTATCAAACGGTTGGACTAGCGGCAACGAGAAGCTTGATCAATTTATTAGGAAATCGCAACTACAAACAATATCGGCAAATGAAGCTTATTTAGAATGGATTCCATTCGATTGGCTTAACGTTAATCTATCAAATGACACCGTAATAATTGGTAGAAATCTACTCGTTTACTGTGAGGTAGAATTGATCCCGCTTGAGATATCTGAAAGAACCAACGATTTGTACTACCACAAGGTGAAGTATATTCGATTATTTTTCTAAACGTATTGGTACGTTTTAAAACGTGTAATATAACGAACAATCTAATGTTTACTAGTTATGTGACAACTATCCAGATATGCTCAACAAAGATATTTGGATCTGTCTTGGGTTTACATATCACAAGGAATGGCAAAAATACGCTCTAATTAAAACGAAGCCGACAGCTTCTGGCTATGAATTATGTCTGGTATGCCGGGAGCATCTGGACGCCAGCATAAGTGCATTTTGTTGGAAATGTAAATCACCAAAACCTCCTGATTGGTCTACTGGAAACAAGTCGTTGGACTCATTTATAATGACGTCTTGGAAAACTCAGATTGATAAATTCGACAACTGTATTCAGTGGATCGAATACGCTCAACTAATGAATATACAAGAGACGTCATCTTTGGATCGTACGGCGGATTTGTTGGAACCGAAAACAAATAAAACCGTAACAATTAAAGTGATGTTCAAGAAGGCGCTGGATTGGTTAAAACAGTCAGAAAATAAAAGCAGATCGATAAGAGTTACGCTTAAGAAGATTGTTGACGGATCAGTTGCTTCGTCATTTGATTTTCATCAGGTGAATTTATAAGCGCATAAATGAAGTGTCGTCAAGCATTGTGTATCTAAAATTATTAATTCATAGTTTTATCGTTTACTAAAATAGCTGACTCAAGATTATCCAGAGATATTAACGCCGGACAACATTTGGATTATTGGTATCACTCGAGAGCCATTAACTGGAGACTATTATTTGGTATTCCACCATGATACTTGTTCGGCTTTGGACAGGGTTTTGCGTATTACAAACTCGAGGGATTCGCTTGAAGACTTAGTATTAGAGTTTATGCAATTTAAGGACTTTTATGAAATTAAAGAGATCGGAGCGGGAGGTTACGGAACTGTTTACATTGCCAAACATAAGGCATTCAAACAGCGTATTGCGTTGAAATGGTTTAAAAGCTTTGATCAAATGCCAGAACTATTTATTTCTGAGGTAAGTACTCTGGATCACGATTATTTTGGTTTAATCAACCGAGATTTGACCTGTTTACCCATTTAACCCTACAGCTGAAAAATCATGCCATGTGTTCTAAATACTATTTTCTTCAAATTTATGGAGTCACACAACATCCAAAGACAAAAGAATACATGATCGTAATGCAATATGCTAACGATGGTGATCTTTTGTCTTATTTAAGTCTGAATATTAACAGACTGACGTGGAAGATGAAATTAGATCACTTGAGGGACATTGCCTATCGTCTGTGGACTATTCACTATACAGGTTTAATACATTGTGATCTTCACGGTGGAAATATTGTTTTCAATAGCAGGAAAGGTTATCACTATCCGAATGCTCATCTACATGACCTACACGTGTTTATATGCGATCTTGGACTTTCTCAACTGGTGAATTCATCCAAATCAAGTACCTCAGTCATTCGCGGAGTTTTACCTTATGTTGCACCGGAAGTCTTTTATTCCGGTGAATTCCATCAGAAATCGGACGTTTATGCTTTTGGCATTCTTATGTATCAGATCGCTAGTGGTGAACCGCCATTCAGAGACAGAAAATTTGATAGGTATTTGGTGTGTGATATTTTGGGGGGATTGCGGCCTACGATGCCTGATTCAGTACCAAAGCCTTACAAACAACTTGCGGAGATGTGTTGTGATGCTGATCCGAACAATCGTCCTGATGCTGAGAAACTTTGCTGGTATATAGCCGAGCTTCATAATCTTGTTCGTGAAGCAAACATTGAGGCGTCGAAAGATAACGTCTGGAATGTTATTTATTACAATGAGAATACAAGGCCATTAACGCGCATTGAGAAAGAGAGCAAATACTCTAGTAAACTGTTACCCACTGGGAATTTGCCTAAACCAAGAAACAGTTATAATATGGGCTCAGCTGCAGGTATGGGAAAAGTGAACTTCGTTCCTAAATTGTAACTTGATTTTGACTACTAACATTAATCTATCCAATTAGTGACTCAAAATATACTATAGCGTATATCATAATGATTTATTATTATTATTATTATTATTATTATTATTACTATTACTATTATTATGTATTTCATGTGTTACACCATCATGTTTAATGGCAGCTATACTGCAAACTGTCGACTAGCAACATTAACTCATTGATATTCATATAGCAACAAAGACAATATAATAGAATGCACAGTGAAATTCACTTTGACGAATCATAATTTTACTTCATCGTTTGTATAAAATAGATAAATCCGTTCTCGTTGTAAAGCCATCTTCGTTAAAGTGAATTTCGCCGTATAACAGAAAAGACAAATACTATGATTACCAATTGTATACGCGATATCCAGATAAGAATGTTATCAATTACCGTGAACCGAGGCAAATATATCGCTCTTATCGATACACGACGCAAGATATTTTAACCATACAAAGTAGTCGGGTTTTTTTTAAATGCATGCAACATGTAAACGCCTACGACAAGCTCTTTTGACGGCAATAACACACATTATGTAATAGCATTCGTATCTTTGGTAGCTAAATAAAGCCAACCATTTTTACTATAGTAATTCGATTAATATTAAAACTACGTTTGTTATTAAAATAAAACTTGCTTTAGTGGTCATCTGTATTTAAACAATATATACGGCTATACCCCGTCATGATTCGGTCACCAGGGAGAGTTTAACCAGAATGTAGCCTTCCTTACATGCCCGCATCAATCAAGTTGTATTAAATGTAGGTATAAATATGTAAAAATTAAATTTACACTCCCGTTTCTATGTCAAATTATAGATTATACGCCAAATATGCAATGCGTAGAAGGATGACGAATGGGGGGAAATCGTCCGACGTGCACCATACACATGCTAATAAATTATTTATTTACTGCTGTAATTTAGTGCAACCATTTGTCAAAATATTATGTCTGCCATTGATTCCCTGCACAGTTAGTGTATCAGCTGATCACGGCAAAAGAAATTATTCGTACTGGAAAATTCATCGTAAGTTTGTGAAATGTCCTGTATAATTGTCAATTTCAATCTTGAATATATGAAAGCCTACTAATTGAAAGTTGGTAAGCAGTTCTCGAACATACTAATACAAAGGGTTAACAGTTTAGAGTTAGGTCCGACATGCGATTAATCCCTACGATAGTAGTTGCCTTTTTCTTTTCTCTGACATGAGGATACGATCAGCATTATTAGGACTATATATGTGCGAACAAACAGTATTTGGTGTTACGCTAGTATGTACTGTATCATTGCAAATTATTAATTTATTGAATTATAAATTTCAGAATTTCATATAATACAACTCATCAGTCTGACCGTTTTTACATACTTTGTAAAATGTCCAGCAATATGCGCAGGATGTGGTTGGACAAAAGCGTTCAAGAAGGATCAATTAATTGTTACTCAGAAAGTGATATAATTTTGGATGCTACACCTTTTGCCTACGACGGATATGGAGTGATACACAACGGATTGATAAAACACTGCACCAAATCTGTCGTAATAAAAGTTTTGGTTCAACGTCGACAAGATTACGAAGAGAAATTCTATGAAGAGTTTGTCAAGGAGGTTGTTATTACTAA